GTCTCGCAAATGTGAGGTGGTAGGTCGCATTTGCGACGTATAGCTAAGTCTTCTAGTTTCTCAATTGCGAACACAGAGTTCGCATTTGCGAAGGTGGTGCTGGATGAGCTTTCTCGCATTTGCGATCAGTCTGGTCACATTTGCGAGGTGTTTATTGTACGCATTTGCGAAAATTATGTCGCATTTGCGACTCTAGAAGGTATGTGAGGACTTCGATTTTGCGATGGATTCGTCACATTTGTGAACCCCAAGTCGTATTTTCCACACTTGCGACTGTACAAAAGTTGAGGGACGGGAGTTTTGGTCTCGTTTTCATATTTTGAAACCCTAGACTCGGTAGGAGGCGATATTGAAGAGGGACTTTCATCCACAAACTTTGGGTAAGTGATTCTAATCTATTTCTAATCATATTCTATCAATATATCTTAGATTTTAACATCAAAATCATGTGAATCGAAGTGAAAATTTGTGAAAATTTGTCAAGTTTTTGAAAAAAAAAAAGGAATTTGAGTTTTGAGAGTCGATTTGGACTCGAATTTTGAAACTAATCATATATATGAACTCGTGGAGTCATGGGTAGTCGGAATCTACCATTGGACCCGAATTTTGACTAGGCGAGCCCGAGGTTGACTTTTGAGCAATTGTGTAAAGATCGTAGTTTTAATTATTGGAATTGAATTCTCTTACATTATTTGATGTTATTTAGTCAATTTTGGTTAGATTTCGAGCGGAGGTGAATTGTAAAGGAAAAGCTATTTTAGAGTATCTTGGTGAATTGATTTTCAAGATGAATTTACTACTTTAAGTCATTATCTCATACCCTGTTGAGTTATTGATAACATAACGGTTTTAAATAAAAGAATTATGAACATGCTTATCTTATGTGACTTTTAAGTTGAAACTCATCGTTTCATTCGGTACTTTACTATTCATAATAGTTGCCATATTTTACTTTAACTAATTTCTCAAATTAAATTCCTTACCCTATCTGATATTTTTACTTTACTTAAAAATCGTTATCATGTTTTATTTTAACAAAATTCTATATTTAATTCGGTAACTTATCCGATGTTCTGTTTTATTTGAAAATGTTATTTTCTCTACCCAAATAATTTATAAACTAAACTCATTTGATACCATATCTTGTATAAATTGTACCTTATTTCACTGTGTTGGTTCCTAAAATAAACTCATTTTTTCATTTGATTCCCTACTTTATTCAAAATTGTTATTACGCCTTATTGTATATAAATAAATCTCTCGAACATTTTATTTAGCATTTGATACGGATTCAATGTACATGGTAGCACGTTTTGCCATGCGAAAGTGATCTGAAAAATGTGGGCACGAGGTGCCATACATGTAAGATTTGGAAGTTGTGACTTATGGTTTGAGATAAAGCGAAGTGGTACTTCGGGCAATACTTGTTGTAACTCGTGCATTAGAAACGATTTGATTAATTGAGTTGTCATCGGTTTTTCTTACTTGGGCTCATTCATATTTCATATGTATCCTAACTATGTTGTTGCTTTATTACCTGGATATTTCCTGTTGCCATTTGTGCTTCTATTATTTCCACCATTGGTTATAAATTTGTGATCCTTCTGTTGTTAGTCTTACATTAATTTTTTTCTCCATTGTTAGCTTTACGTTATATCCTGCATAGGTTTACATGTCTGGTAGGTGTCTTGACATGGCCTCGTCACTACTCTAGCGAGGTTAGGCTTGATACTAACTGGGTACCGTTGTGGTGTACCCATGCTACGCTTATGCACATTTTTGTGCAGATCCAGGTACTTCTGATCGATTTGATTTTGAGACTTATGCCTGGGCAGCCGGAGACTTCAAGGTATACCTACTTGACGTTCGCAGGCCTTGAAGTCACCTTCTGTTGTCTTTTATTTCCACGTTTTCTTATTATTTTGTAACAGTGATGTACTTAGTATTCCTAATTACTCTTAGAGAAGCTTATGACTCGTACTACCGGTTTTGCGATTGTATGATCGATGTTGCTCAGCTATGCTTTATCAGTTATTATTTAATATATTGTGGTTAAATAGTTAAATTTCAGTAATAATCAGCATATGTTAGGCTTACTTAGTCTTAAAGATTATGTGCCATCACGACATCCTAAGGTGGAAAATTGGGGTCGTGACAACTTATCTCATCTTATCCTCCATGGGGACCATGCCCACCTTTTTCCGAATATCCTCATTCCTTATCTTATCCAACATAGTGTGCCCGCAAATCCATCTCAATATCTTCATTTCAGCTATGTTCATCTTCTGGATATGGAAGTTCTTGACTGGCGAGCACTCTGCCCCATACAATATAGTCGGTCTAACTACCACTTTGTAGAACTAACTTTTAAGTTTTGGTGGTACATTCTTGTCGCATAGGACGCCGGATACTAACCTTCATTGCAACCACCCTGCCCCTATATGGTGTGTGACATCCTCGTCAATTTCTTCGTTCTCTTAGATAACTGACTCAAGATACTTGAAACTTCCTTTCTTAGAGATGACTTGGGAGCCAAGCCTCACGTCCATCTCCGATCCCCTCGTCTTGCCGTTGAACTTGCACTCTAAGTATTTTGTTTAAGTCATGCTCAACTTGAAACCTTTAGACTCTAAGGCCTGTCTCCAAACCTCCAACTTATCGTTGACACCGCCTCACGTCTCATCAATCAGTACTATATCATCAGCGGATAACATACATTTGGACAAGAAGTCAAAAATGACTATTCAAAAAGCCATAGATAATACGAATATCTATATTATCCGTCAGTTAACCTATTTTTTATTCGTACGGGTCGAATATTTTATTTATTTTTGCCTAACCGATTTTTGACCACCGCTCATATTCAATTTGACCCGCCCGTTTGCAGTCCCTAGTGGTGATAATTAACCTTTTTATTTTACTGAGCAATTAATCTGAAAATGAATCAACATCCATAAGTCCATATAATATGATAAGGGTGTCAATGGTTCGGTTCGGCCGGTTACTTTATAAAATTTATACCATATCAATTTTTTGGTTATTGAATAATGTATAACCAAAATTAGACTTTTCGAAACACCGTCCCAACTATGTCGGTTTCTCTTCGGTATCGGTACAGTTCGATTAATTTTCGGTATTTTTTTAAATATCATGTAAAAGTCACTAGTAGAAGTAGAATGGAATAACATATATACTTTTATAGGACTTCTTAAAACTGTCTAGATATTTTTACTGTTTAAAGGATGATGAATTATGAAAACATGAAAGATGGTTAGAGTATAGATCCATCAACTATTCTACAGCAGCGTAAAAGAAACTAAGCAAAGACAAAAAAAAATATAAATCACACGAGCAAAAATATATTAACCAAGTTAGGACTCAAGAATAAAATCTATAGAAGATTAGATATTCAAAAAGATAAATCTGAATCATACAGAAGGAAACATATTCAATACATTATAGTTTGCTACTCATAATCGCTAGAATACTTTGTGTCTTGCTAGTGAATATGCTGGAAATAATTTAGTGTCAGTAGGAGTAGCATAATAGGTGTGAGAATTGTGATTTTGAGTTTAGTTACTTGTTGACTTGTAACCGCTTTCATAATTCTAAGGCCAAAGGAAAAATTTAATCTATTATTATTTTTAAACTTAAAATATAATATATTTTCCACATATAAATTTATTTGATACGGTTTAGTATTTTTTTGGTTTATTTTTATAAAATAAAAAATATATCCTAATTATCGATAAAGTTATATATTTACATAAATATCTACGATTTTATTAAAAGAAACCTAAAAATTGATTCGATACGGTACGGTATTGTTCGAATTTTTAAATATTCATCGACATCCCTATTACGCGATACATCAAATCGTGACCCCATATAGATTATCATAAACACGTACGCGGAATCTACTTGACAAGGACCCTCAATTAAAATAAATGAACGTCATATTTATACCATAAAAATAAATACGTAATCATCAAGCTAATTTCTAATTTTCTCTCAGCAACATTCACCTAAAGCGCCCATACAATAGTACTCACATCACATGGAAAACCTACATGATTGATTAATTTAATAGTAATGTTTTTTTATATATTATTGAACGAAGTTCCAACAAACTAAAAATTTAATGTTTAATCACTTCCTTTTGTATTGGTATAATTAAAAAAATTTCAAGTTTGCAGCATAACATTTTATAAATTCATAGCAGTAATTCTTATCACGAAATGAAAATTGAAAAACAGATTTAATTTACCTTAATTAGTTTGTGATCATTGCTCCTCTTAAACTTAATTTAACTAAGCTTGTAGTAATAAGTATTTTTAAGTATCTGGAAATTCCATAAACAACTTTATTCTGATTTTTCCAAACACAGATTGTTTAAATTTGTTCTTAACATTATTTCAAAAGCCAAAAAATGGTCATAATAATTCGAAATTCAATTCTTTAAAAACTAAATAATGTACAAACACTCATCCAAAAAAAAATATTAATTGATTTCTTCCCATTTATCTAAACTTTGAGGAACAAAATTACCTAATACTCCTTCCGTTTTAATTTAGATGAGGTAGTTTGACTCAGCACAGAATTTAATGAAAAAAATAAGACTTTTGAAACTTATAGTATTAAAAGTTTAAGGGGTAAAAGTTTTATAGGACCATGACATTTGTGTGGTTAAAGACTTCTTATTAAGGATAAAACAGGTAAAATAAAGAATTTAAAGTTAAATTATTTTTAATTATAGAAATATGACATTCTTTTTGGAACGTAATAATAAGAAAAATATGTTATCTAAATTGAAGTGGCGAGAGTAATTGAGATCCACTACCTTACAAATAAAACAAAAATGGAAACCAAACAATTTTCTAATCCATTTGTTTTAATAAAAAAACTAAGGGAATCTTTTTGGGGTCCGCTGAGTTGAACCTCAGATAATCTTTAATACTACAATTCCTTCACCTACTACTACAATCCAACATTTTTCCATGTCAGCACTAATCGATACATGTGTCTGTCCCTATATATAGTACTATATCTTTGTGTGTGTTTTAGCTAGGAATACTATTTTTACTGTTATATTGTGATCGATCAAGAATGGCGTTACAGAGGAAATTACTAAAAGGGTGTGCTGGAATTGCCAAATATAGGTGGTTGAGGTACTTTTCCGGTCAAGCAGTGGTGGCGCCGCCCGAACTGCCGCCGTTTGACTACCAGCCAAAGCCGTATAAAGGGCCTTTGGCTGATGAGGTTTTGGAGAAAAGAAAGAAGTTTTTGGGTCCTTCCCTCTTCTACTACTACCAAAAACCTGTAAATTTCTCTTCTTTTTTCAACTAATTACACATTAGTTTTATATTTTCTTGGTTTTGAGATAATTAGCGGATTTTTAAAGCATATGAATTTACAAATTGGATTGTATGATTTGCTTTAGGAAAAAGAAGAAAAAAAAGAAAGAAAAAAGAGGAAGAGGGATTGTGTTTCTCTGTGCTTAAGTTTGATGATCAAGATTTGATTTTGAATATTCTGGAATGTTTATTTGCTCGAGTGTTATGCACCATTTTGACACTCCCTTCGTTTCAATTTATGAGAAACCATTTGATTGGGTGCGGAGTTTAAGAAAAAAGATAAGATTTTAGAACTTATGCGGTAAAATGAGTCACATATATTTTGTACGGCTATAAATCATTGCATAAAGGTAAATTATTTCCAAATAAGGTAAATCGTCATTCTTTTTGGCACGGACTAAAAAGAAAATAGGTTCACATAAATTAAAACAGAGGGAGTATTTACTATTGAGTGGGTCAATGACTGATTCTTCAGTGACTGAGTAATATAAGATTCATTTTCCAATTTGAAGTGTATGTGAGGATTCATATAACCGACTTCAACTTGTTTGGGACTGAAGCGTAGTTGTTCTTGTGTCTTGTCTAATCAAGCACAAATGATAATTTTTTTCTTTCCTTTTCATTTGGAGTACTTGATTCAGTTACTACATTGGAAAGTAACCGGCAGCATCATATTTTATGAGGAGCCGGTTTGGTAGATATGAATAATGTTGTCTCTAGTCTTGAATTGTATCCATAACTTTTTGTTGATCTCATATGGTCAAATGTGGCACACTTAACAACTGACTGAAAATGTTATATTGGAGAAGTCTGCATTTACAAATGTGTGTTTATAGCTTCTACTTAGGATCTATTGTGCTATTCATCTCGTTTGGTAGGGTGCATAAGATAAAATAATGCATGCATTAACTTTGTATATTAATAATACCTTGTTTGATACACTTTTTGAACCTATGCATTAGTTATACACCCTATTTGGTATTATCTTATGCATAACTAATGCATAGAAAATCATGGTATTAGGAATGAAATGGGTTTTAATGCATGCATTAGCTTAGTTAAAGACAAAATTGTCCTTCACAATTTATGCTTGATTAAAATATGCTATTATATTAATGCAAGTTTAAAATAATCCAAATAGTGAGAAATAAAATTATATCCCTAATAAATAAATAAATACTTAGCATATTTCCTTTTTTATAAATAAATATTTAGTTCTATACTACAATATAGGTAGACAAATCAAATAATTTTTTTAAAACTTTTTCATATAAAAACATTTCCCAACATATGTTTCTTTTAAAAAGATAGAGCGATGGATTGGTTTTGAGGGCATTTTTGTAAAAATATAATTCTTTTAGAAATTGTGCAATACTTTAATACATCAAACAACATAACTAATGCAAGCATAACTAATACCGGCATTATTAATACGCCCTATTTAGCATTATCTTATGCACCCTACCAAACGACCCTTGAATGTCATTATATTGTCTGCTAGAGCACTTCAATGGGGCCTTTGATTGCTAACTTCTCGAGTGGAGTCTTGTTCCATAACTTTGATATTCCATTGTTAGGCAGATTTTGATTTATTTAAGGTTTCTTCTGAATTTATAAGAATTGAGAGATCTTTTCCTGTTTTTATATTGTGTTTCCTACTCGTATTGAATGGCTAACCAAAATAACAAAAAGGAAAACAGGTAAAAAGTAAATGCCCATGTTGGTATGAGAGCTCTATAATTGCTTTCCTTAAAGCTGTGCCTCTTTCTAATAACTCTTTTACTTCTTCAAACAGCTAAATATTGTTGAGGGGAAGATGCAATATTTGTATGATGAGAATGGAAGACGTTATCTTGATGCTTTTGCTGGAATAGTTACTGTCTCATGTGGTCATTGTCATCCTGTGGTGTTGGATGCCATCACGGAGCAAAGCAAGCTTCTCCAACATGCTACAACCATATATTTACATCATGCGATCGGCGATTTTGCGGAGGCATTGGCATCTAAGATGCCAGGAAACCTAAAGGTTAAAATAATACTACTACCCTAATGGTCTATTTGGTGTGCATTTTCTTCAACTCTATTATATGCATAAATAGTATAGACTGAGTTTCTCTACTTCGAAGTTCCATTTTGGGCTCTGATAGTCTATTTATGGAAGGTACCCCTGATATGATTCCTTTTCCCATTTTTTCATTCAATCATGACAGAAAGGTTTGATATTTGTACCCTTCCAATAGTGTAGGTTAGCATGACATGTTTTTCTTTTATCTTAAATTGGCCTTTGTTGATATCCCTCCCTTCATCTAACTTTCTTTTTGGCGCGTTCCTTTTATCATTCAGAATGGAATCTTTAAATAACTTCTATATGATATCTAATTCAAACTTTTTTACCATGATTTCTGATCCTTGTCAAACTTTGCCTTGAAAGTTTGGACTTCGGGAGTATGTGATATAAGATTCTAGAATCTTGTGATTTGTTCACCATTTGAAACCACTAATTCTTTTTCTGTTGTAGCTTATGCAATTTTATTAAGGTTTTAGGGTCGTGGAGAAGTTTTAGTCAGATTGTAATAACTTCCTCTATAGTAATGGGTACAGCGATTTCTATCACGCATTCATGAGATTAAAGACAGAGGTTGGAGTATGGACTAAATTGTTTACCTAAAATACCTTTGTTGTCAAATTATTTTCACTTCTTGTCTTCTGTAAAGAACATAGACATGCAATATCTATATTGGCATGTAATTCTTGTTTATTGTTATGAACTAAGCCAAAAATGTTAGTACAAGATAAACACAAATTTAATCCAGAAAAGGAAAGAGAGGTAAGTTCAAAGCACCCCGTATCCATTGAGTTGTTAGATTTTAATCCCTCCATTTTGAGTTTGGGTAATTCGAGGCAGTGAAGACCAATAGTCTGATGTGACCTGAAGCCCCTTAAACAATCCAAATGCTGCAGTATAAGAGGAATACCTTATCATGTAAACCAGAGTATGCCTATAAATTTGGATTGGTTTGTGTCTGCGAGGTTTATCTTCTGAAACATGAGCTCAATCTGTATCGTATAAGAACTTTCTAATATTTGTCAGTCTGACTTGCTTGTTTTGAACTGCAGGTAGTATATTTCGTAAATTCAGGGACAGAAGCAAATGAATTAGCGATGCTGATGGCACGACTGTACAGTGGTAACCTAAATATGATTGCCTTGAGGAATGCATATCATGGCGGAAGCGCTAACACAATTGGGCTAACTGCTCTTAACACATGGAAGTACCCTATTCCACAGGTATACCCATGCGCCAAAGCATGAAGAATTAGAAGTGTATCTTCCTTTGTTTATTTTATTAGTTGATCCAGTGAACACTTCGATGAAAGATGTTCATGCCATCTGAAATTTGACAATCCCCATGCGTTTCTTTAATTTCTTTGATGATTTACAGGGTGAAATCCATCACGTTCTGAATCCTAACCCATATCGTGGAGTATTCGGATCTGATGCTAAACGATATGCTGAAGATGTACAGGATCACATTGATCATGGTACTTCAGGAAAGGTTGCTGGTTTTATTGCTGAGACAATTCAGGTTTGGATTTGTTAATTCTCCCTTCAATGTGGAAAAATGCTGCTTCGAGACTTAGACCAGAAGGATGAACATTTCAAGTGTGATAAAATTCTATTTTTTTTTTTGCTTTAGGGGGTTGGAGGAGCAGTTGAACTAGCCCCTGGATACTTGAAGTTGGTTTATGACATTGTTCGCAAAGCAGGAGGTGTTTGTATTGCTGATGAAGTTCAAACTGGCTTTGGTCGCACAGGAAGCGACTTCTGGGGTTTTCAGACACAGGGTGTGATTCCTGATATAGTTACAATGGCAAAGGTATTGTAATTATTTCTTTTCATCTTTTTGCTCAGCCATGTTCCTGTTATGGGAGACTTGCTCCATAGACCCTGCCGCCTCCTAAGACTTTCATCCCCAATATTCTCTCTGGGCAAGGCGCTAAGGTGTGCTTATATCTTATTTTAAGACGAGGTCACCATGCCGCTTGCTTTAGTCGCTAGTCGGATGCAAGTTGAGATGAACAGACTGGACTGAACCTCCCTATGTGAAGAGCTTTTGGTCTCCACAAGAGTGCACCATATTTATTGGTTACATATCATGTCTTTTGCTGTTATTCATCTTGTGGAATGGCCTGTTATTCCTGAGTTTATGATTTTTCAGGGTATTGGAAATGGTTTGCCACTTGGAGCTGTTGTCACAACGCCAGAAATTGCAAGTGTTATGGCTCAAAAGATACAATTTAATACATATGGGGGGAACCCTGTTTGCTCTGCTGGTGGACATGCAGTACTCAGAGTTATTGATAAGGAACAACGCCAAAAGCATTGTGCTGATGTTGGCTCACACTTAATTGGGCGGCTGAGGGATCTACAGAAAAGACACGGCAGTAAGTTGCTTACTTTATCAAAGCTCAGACATGTATTAGCCAAAATGGATTGCTTTTCATCCCGGTCAAATTTCTTTAGTTTATATAGCACCAAATGTCGATATCCTGGCATCAAAGAGTTGATCATTTTTCTGTTTCTGAGTCTTCTGCTTTAATGATCCTTTAATTTTCCTCCTAGTGACTTGCATCTTCTGGTTAATATTATCACTAACATACCTTGTTACTGCCAGTAATTGGAGATGTGAGAGGCAGGGGTTTAATGGTTGGTATCGAACTCGTAACTGACAGAAAAGAGAAGACACCCGCCAAGGCAGAAACTGGAGTTCTCTTTGAGAAGCTTAGAGGTTTGTATAATCTGCCGATGAATTAAAGAGAATTGAGAAGTAATTGAAAACCGTTGCATATATACTAACGATGCACTTGCGCCTGGATGTAGAACTTGGTGTTCTTGTGGGGAAAGGTGGTTTAAATGGAAATGTTTTCAGAATAAAACCTCCCATGTGTTTCAACAAAGATGATGCAGGTAACCTCTTTACCTACTGGTTTAATCTGGCCCTTTTATTTTGTACTGTTCCATCTTATATGATCAGTATCTTTGAAAATCACATCTGTTAACATTATCAAAAATTTGCAAATATTTTCATTTGCAAGATATTTAACATCTCTGGTTTTTGAGCAATTAAACTTGTTTTTTTGTGCAGACTTCCTAGTTGATGCATTGGACTATTCAATTTCAAAGTTGTGAAAATCTCTCAAGAGTAGCCAGATTGTTGTGAATTGCTCAGTTGATTCTCCTTAAACCAAAGGACAGCTTATTTTCCAATTCCAGTTCAATTAGTTGAAATAATTTCTGAATCAGTTTCAATGGTTAAATATACACGTGAAAAATATGAAATTATCTTTCTACTTTTGAACGAAAAGTAGATATCCTTGAATGTTTTATACTTGGTTAGTATTATCATTACAGAACTGATTCCTTTTATCCATGTATCTCCAAATACATTTTTTCAGTTAAATTTTTTTTATTCGTTTGCAGAAATTGCATTCCTATAATTATTAAGCAAAAAAGCAGTTATTTTTAAAATTATTATTATTAGCAAATCTGGTATACTATAAAGAGAATTGAACTTGGGAATTTGACCATAATAAACTCAGATATTTACGCCGTTATACATTACTTCTAAGATATTGATCGTTTTGAACCAAATCATAGGTGCTAAATTGCAAAATCTTCAGTATTTTGATATCGTTTAAATTTAAAATCTTAAGTTCGAGTCCCTCCAATGTGGGATCAAAATTCCATTCTCTAGATGATAAAGAAAGTGCCAAACTGTAAAAAGGGTTTATTTAATTTGCGGAATTCATACTTAACATTTAAGTTAGATAGGATGTACCTCGACAACCTTAATACACAAAGGTGTATGGATGAAATAATCGGAATGATAACTGATTATTATAACAAAAAGTAAAGAAAGTCGGGGACCATCAATTATATTCAAACTAGTAACAAGCCAAGTATTACGACTATAAAGGGAGAAGCGAAGTTGAGCTTGATGCACGTTGCACTGACGGGAGCAAAAAAATAATGAAATCCCGCGGAACTGATGACCGCGGGTGGAGAATTACTCGATAAATAGAAGACCATGCTACCGTTTTGGGCCAACAAGGTCAAAATCTTCGTCAACGCAAGAAAAGGGCACGACAATCAGTCCGAATCCAAGCAACAAGAGAATTCTAAATTCGAGATGTTAGAAGGTACAACATCAATGGGTGCAGGAGCTGCTACAATTGCTTCGGCGGGAGCTGCTATCGGTATTGGAAACGTTCAGCAATAAGCACTTAAATAATACAATTCAAATGTACCATCTTTCTCATTTCGAGGAAAAGAAAACAACAGAGAGATCCGAATCGGACCTAAATGGGAATGACATGAAAAGTCTTTTCCAAAACCTAGCATTAAGGGCGTTACAACATTTACGAGAGGAATAGAGAAAAATTCGTGATTGTTGTTGCATCGGAATATACAGTGAACTACATTATGGAATATGCCATAGCTGAACTTGGTATTTATATTTGTCCAAGTAACCAACAATCTTTTTGGATGAAAATCTGTAGAAGTAAACATATATATGCCCAAATTTTCCTCAACACAATTCATTAAGTAACAACATAATATTGCTCATGTCATCATTGCTTATTTTTCTTTTATAGCAGTTGTTCATCTGCAAAGCTTTCAAAAATTGCTTGCCACATCACACACTCCCATAATAGATACTACAGAGAGGTACCATAACAGCAACTTGGAGTAAGTTCCATCCCCAGACCTGGCAAGCGAGCCTCGGAAAACAACTCAAGACCATATTGATTTACAATCATCAAAACCAATGTGAAAAGAAAAAAGAAAAAAAAGAGAAATGCAAATTTCAAAGTTCCAATTACAGCATACCGGAACTTATATACAGATTTCAATCAGGGGCGAAGCAGTGTCCAAACGGGCGCAAGCTGATATTATGTTGCATATCCAAATTCATAGTTTTACCTGTATAAGCAAAGTGCAGATTTTAGCTTGCTCAGCTTTCATTGGCAAAGTTGAATTATGCGCTGAGTGGCATATAATGGTTTTTTCTTGCTTCTTTATGCTGGTTCAGAAGTACGACTGGTCCAAAGTGAGCTTAGAGCACGAAGACGTTTAAAGTATTCTCCCAAGGCAAGGAGGCCCTGAGCTGATTGTTGCGGGGTCAGGATGCAGGACATCTGTAGAAGGGTTTCTTGGCGAAGATGATCTGCCTGTAGAATGAGACAAGTATGATCATGAGCGAAACGCATGTCAAATAGTTGAACTTGCACTCATACACTTCTAAGGTTCACACATTAATGGTTAACCTAACTAATTTTCGCCTTCTACCTAGCCAAAAGCATAAAAACCTCAACTTCTAATTTCTTAAACTAAAAACATCATTCCAAGGTTACGTGGATTTTGCACAAATCAACCTATCTAATCATTTCTTTGCTCTACAACTTGCATCATTCGATCATACTGTGGATCCGTACTTACATGGGGTGTTCCCCGGGTAATTACAAAAATCATTCTGTAAGTTTAGAGTTCTAATTAAAAAGGAAGCGAACCATAAACTGACATATTACCTGATTTACAAATCTAACTAGAGCTTCCAAATTCTCAATGGTAGCAGCCATCTTTGGAAGGATAATACCGTCACCTAGTGTACCAGCTGCAACAGCCTCAGCAAGAATCTGGTGGAGTTTTACCATTCCTTGGGACAATGCGTCTTCTGCCTGTTGACACGATTGCATGAGGTTGCAAACATCCCGGAGTTGTTGTTCTGTCAATGGCTCCACATTTGGTGTGAGAACCTATAGGTACCATAGGGTCATGTATAAGCACTTTTTTCACAAAAGACATCAGAATTAAACACCATCAATCATATATTGACCTCTAAAAGAATAGCCAAAGGAAAAACAGAAATATTGACATCTGCTGTTGGATTTACTTCAATTCTCAAAGGCATTAGACATTGACCAGGTATTGAACATCAATGAGATAGTGGTTCATGCCAAGTCCTCTAAAATGACCAAATCCTTTTGATATTATGCAAGAAATTCTGAGACTTCCACGTCTACACCCTCCCAGAACGACTTTCACTTTTAGGGTTAAATCTTATTTATGGAGTTGTCAGATAGAGTAGATAAGAGGGAGGTTTTGCGGTAGAGGTTGGAGCACCAAGGCCTAAAAATAATTTATTTTTAGAAGTTGCTTCTTTCTTGGTGGGCAGCGGGGGATGCCATACCAACAGCAGAGTATCTGAGAAAGAAAATGATAATATTTGGGAGTTTGTGCTGCATCTATAAGGAATCTGAAGAAAATACTAATCATATCTTGTTGAATGCAGGTAGGTTTCATGACTGTGGAGTGTGGAATATTGTATTCTCATTGTTCAACAGATCGTGGGTGTTACCAAGGATTGTGGAGGATGCAATCACGAACTGGAAATCGGCTGTCAAAAGAGGACAGCACAGGAGACATCACAATTATGCCTCTTTTGGTGGCCATGGAATTAAAGAAACAGAAGATTGTTTCAAAAAAATAATATTTTGTTATTTGTCCTGTATTTTACGTGAAAGGAGAAAATACAGTGTTGTATATGGCAAACTTGATAGATGCTTGTAGATTCAGGTTGAGTCACATAAACATAGACATTCTTCTAAGACGCTCTTCTGTTTATTGATGAAAGTTTTGATTTATCAAAAATTAAAAATAAAAAGGGAGCTAATTTAGCAAGGAATCCTTGAGCAAGCATGACAATAGGAAAAAATGTAGGAGTAGGTCAGCATAGACGGACAAATTTTTAAACGAATTATAAGGTGAAATTGGAAAATTTGTGGCCATGTTTGACCCCAGATTAACTTGCATGTGGAATGCTGAATCATCAACAAATGGATTTTTCAAGGAACAGGAGGTGCAATGGCAAGTTATACTAGATCAATCATCACCTTTAAAAGCTCAGAGGGGCGAAATCCCGCAATCCATAAGAAGAATCGCTCAGCTGATGTCTTCCACGTGCCAGTCATAAGGAAGAGAACATCGGCATGTGCGGCCGCAGCTTTCATGCGAAATAGATCAAAATAGTGGTTCAAGCAACCCTCGACAAGAAGCTGCAATTCAATTTCACCAACTTGAGAATTCAAAGCACTCCTTAATTCATCTGTTTGTCGATCTTGCTCTTCCACCCAATGGCCATACTCCATTTCAAAAGCAACAATTCCTGCGGACTCGACAAGTTAGGAAAAAGTTCAAATTACAATATTAATAAAGAGAAAGAAGAAAAGAAAGTGAAATAAGTTGACAACTTGAATGGTTGCACTGAATGTTTCCACAACAGGAAATCCCAGATAAATACCAAAGACTTTATATTTATCAACAGGAAGTGTACTTTAAAAAAGCTGTAATTCCAAGGGGTGAAGCAAATAATTTCTTAATTCGTTGAATGTATATTTTGGGAAAGAAAACTCCTTAATATGATAGTTTCCATAGTTCAGAAGTCACATTTACAGATCCAATAGAATAATCCTTTCCATTAGTTTTATCCAGTTAATGGCATCTTAAATAGCCATCTAATACATTACCTTCGTGCGAGTAATTGATAAATTGTGATCAAACTAGTTAGAAGAGAGAGCTTAGCAGCAAATAGTGACCAAAGCTTATTTCAAATTGTATTCAACAATAACAAAATAGATGGTTCGGACATGTTAAGAGGAGAGACGCAGATGCACCAGTGAGGAGGTGTGAGAGGTTGGCCCTGGAGAGCCTAAGGAGAGGTAGAGGTAGGCCGAAAAAGTATTGGGGAGAGGTGATTAGGCAAGATATGACGTTGCTCCAGCTCACAGAGGACATGACCAGGGATCAGAAGGTGTGGAGGTTGAGAATAAAGGTAAAGGGTTAGAATAGGTCGCCTAGCGTTGTCCTTGTCAGTAACAGTAGCTTTAGTACATGAGTTAGCGTTAGTTATGTATTTTCGTATTTCTTGATTTATGTGATTACTTGTCGTTGCTTTCGTTTTGGCCTTCTAATTACAATACTTGGTTTTAGTTTTGTATCTTTGTATTTTTTTTCTTCGGTTTTAGAATTGGTGTGATTGTTGCTGCCTTTCCTTTTATCTTTCCTAAGCCGAGCGTCTTTCGGAAACAGCCTCTCTGCCTTTCTGAAGGTAGGGGTAAGGTCTGCGTACATACTACCCTCCCCAAACCCCACTGTGGGATTACACTGGGTTTGTTGTTGTGGTAATAACAACAAAATAGAGCTCTCATCTACAATTCTTGCTGAACAGAACTTTGCAAAATCAAATCAACATGTCCATTTACAAAATTTAGGAAATCAAAATCAATAAATCCACTTCAAACATATCAATCTACTTACTATAATTGATACTCAGATACACTGAGCAATGATTCCAGACGAACTCTACTATATCATTCCAAAGCACAATTTTTGTCATTCATATACTCAGGCATACCGCACATGCAAATAGTTCTGCGCATGAACTTCTTTAAGCAATCAACAACAAGACAGCATCAATCTACACACCTGAATTTGCAGTTCCGGTGTAACCTATCTGACTTTCATCTAAACCGACACCTGCATACTGACCCTGTCACAAAAAATGTTTGCTAATTTGTTATATTTCTCTCATCCTAGGAAGTAAAAAAAAAATGCTTTTGATATCAATCAACTGAAGAGATTCAACATCTCATATGTCGATGCAAATTTTCTCTTTACCTGTTGTCTAGTACGTTCTAGTTCTTGTTCCAACTGAAGCAGCTTCAGTTTACTATTTTCCAACTGCTGAACATAGGCCTGAGTAACGACATGTGAATTTAGGAATATTTATGTCTCAAACAGAAATAAGTTTTTGACTTCTTTAAAAAGACATAAAAAAGTGGATGAGAAATTCTGGGTAAGGAATTACAGAAATTCAAGCGATACCTTCTTCCGTAAACGACTTTTACGAGCAGCTTCACGGTTTTGTGCGAGGCGTCTAAGCACCTGTATATGAAGCTAGGGTATTAAGCAGTTGATATACCAATAGTCAATTACAAAGCAGCAAATATAGGCTCTTAAAATAGCCAAATATCTCCAAGCTCAGAGCTAAAAATCATATGTGACAAGACAAAGACCCCTCAAATACATGAATGCGCCGCTATCAGGAATCCAAAGATTCACAGCGCTGACAAAGTTTTACTATCTATATGTGATGGCCTTAGTTCCATTTTCACTAAAAAGGAACTAAGATATTAAAGATATGAATCAATCAAACTTTACAACTCACGACACGAATGCTTGGTTTAATACATGACAGTGACCAACCATCGACGCCACCATTTAAATCAGTACTTCATGCATAATGTAATAACAAATACCTACTGAGAAATAGGTAAGAAGAAAAGCAGACAAAATATGGAAATATCTCTAACCTTATCAATAGGTTTACGTGCTTCTGGTTCATATCTGTTAGACGTTCCAACTGTTCCATGTGAAAGTTCCTCTGTCTAGACATATTAATTATGTAATTAGCATAAATATGTGAAAAGTAAAAGTCTAAAGGAAAAAGAAAAAGATTTGCACCTCATTGTGTGGTCTTTTCTCCATAATAGGCATCTCGTTCTCTAAACAATTCTCAACTTCAAGAATCAAGGTTGCCGACGTATCTGGGAAACTGCTATTTTTGAAATCTCCCCACATGCCAATTTGATGGATTGGATCACATATACCCATCCTTTTAGAGGCAACGAATTGAGTATATGTTGAATTCATTATCTTTGGACTGTTTTTAGTAAGAAACAAGTCAGCTACTAATTGTCAAGAATTTAGACAAGCGCCACATGTTAATTTTTAAGTCATTACCATCCAAGAAAGGAGTGGAAAGTAAGAAAGAGAATCGAGTTCAATAAAACAAGACTGATCAACGTTAGATTCGTGTTTTGAAGTCATCAAAAAGCAAAACCAGCAGCTAAAGCCAATTAAAAAGAGTTGATCTTTCTCTGACTTCAAACTCAGCAGACCAAAGAATAGGATCAAATTCACAGAAACAATCAAAGGCAATTTAAAGCACCTAAATTCTCAAATTTCTTCTCAAAATATCTTGTACTTAGCATACAACTTAAGTCAAATCACCAGATATACATAAAGGCAAGAAAACTGTTTGATTCAAGCCCTATAGAGAAAAGGATGAAAGGTCAAACAAACCAACTTATTCAAAAACTTTAAGCTGCTTCATTTCTCAAACTTTTAATCAATCAGAAAATAAATGAAAAGAATAAACTATTGACTTTTCTGGCAATAAAGACTCAATCTTGAGCGAAAGTAGTTAAAGAGGACAGCCAACCAAATCAGGCTAAAACTTCAAGCAACAAATCAAATTAACTTTCCAACCCAATTTAATGCAATACATGCTTAAAACAAACCAAACAAAACAGTAGAAGAGAGAAAGGTAAACAAACCTTTTGTTTCCCGCTTTAATTCCTCAATCTTACAAACATCAAAAACTCTAAATCCTAATTCCTAATTCCTAATTCCTTCTAAACATCCATAGCTTTCTAAAAAAGAATGAATAGAATCTTCAAGTCTTATCAAAATTCCAATAACATAAAATCAATAAAGCAATACCCAACTCACTATAGTTCAATTATGTGTACATAACATCAACTACAAAAGATCACACACACACTCGTATATATATGAATATATGAGGTGGTATATACAGAGAAATTTTGTACAAGGGTATGTTTAAAAAGGGGGCAAGGGGATGGGGCTAATGGGTATCTAATAGATACAGATATTATTATTATATTTTAAATATTGTAATGTTATTGTTTGTTGCTATCATGTGCTACAGTTGAAACAAGATTAGAATCTTGAGAATTAGAACTTGTCATATTTCCACTATTTAAATAATTCTGTTTTTAAAAGGGGTGTTCCTAACACCATTGGTGTCCCTAATAAAACTTATAAAATTAAAATCCTGATTGTGCATTGGGGTTTGAATGTGCTTAGATCCGTTTGGCCAAAAAAAAAAAGTTTTCGTTTTATTTTTTCGAGATCAGTGTTTGGCTATAAAAATTTTAAATTTCACTTGAAATTGAATTTCGGATTTTTTTAAAATTTAAAAATTATTTTTAAAATTTCACTTCAAAGCATTTACAAAAATTCAAAAATAGCTCCAAATTGTATGCATGTCCAAACATAATTCTAATTTTCAAATATCATTTTCAATTTTAAAAAATAATTCACTTTTTCCAAATTTTCATAGCTTTTATGTCCAAACACCCATCTACTACGTGGGCGTTTGGACATAAGAATTGTAAAATTCCAAAATAGGTAGAAAAAAAATTTCAAGTGAAAATGGTATTTGAAATTTAGAGTTGTGTTTGGACATGAATATAATTTTGGGTTATTTTTGAAGTTTTGTGAATGATTTGAGTGAAAATTTTGAAAAATAGTTTTTTTGAGTTTTTTAAATTTTTAAAAATTTTCAAAATACATCTTTAAGTGAAAATTAAAAATTTTATGAGCAAACGCTGATTTCAAAAAAACGTAAAAAAAATTAAAAAAAAAAAATTTGTTATGTCCAAACGGGCTCTACATATGTCACTCTCACTCAACTTTGCACATCATGTGTTGAGTTTACAATTTTGCATGGGAACATACGTTGCAAATGTGGCCATTAATGGCTGCACGCGCTATAGGCGGTAAGATTTAGGAGTTTAGCACTTTTAATAATTTGTTACATAAAAACAAAATTGTTACATTAGCTGGCATGGTGTTGACATAAGGCAAAAACAATGTTATAATGTTGTCATATTGCGTAATTAAGAAAATGAGGGTTTACTTAATACTACTAGTATGAATTGATAATAATTGGATTCTAGTATATTCACGATAATGATTTTCTTGTTTTTATGTTAATGAAACTTTGGCCTACAAGTTAACAAGTCAGATTCAAAACCTATTCCTCCATCCACATAGTACTCTTCTCATTCAACTGCTATCTTTCTTCTTTTTTCTTTTTTCTTTTTGAAAATCAAACTAGGATTTATAGGATTAAATATATTTATTATTTAATTAGCTAATAAAGCTAAATTATAAAATTGATAAATACATTAGTGCATGTGTTTTTTTTTCGATTTATGTTCTCTCTATTATTATTTTTGCAAGTGTTGGCATTCTTCCTATCAATATGCCATAAGTGTAAAGTGATGGTACTAATTTTCGCTGATGCATAATATAAATGTTATAAAGATTCTTTTTTTATTTTTCATGAATTTAGATGACACTGATGGTACTATTTTTTTTCTTTGTCAAGGAAATGCATATTTAATAAATAAATCAATATTTAATTTTACATGAAACTTCAGATGTTTTGACTCGTCTATATTTTTCTCAAAGCAATAATTGTGTTTTAAGTAATAAATTTTATGATGATTCTGGATTAAGATAATTTTCAATTTTTAAATGAGAAATTGATGAAATTAAGTTAATTGCATTAGGATGAATTTGTCACTCAAATATTACATTTTGGTATTTAAAACTTATACTATTCCTATATGTTACACACAGAATTAATTCCGTAATTATAAAGGGTCATGAATATGCTCGGAGGTTTTTATTTTAATTTATAAGGACGAAAGTATAATTACCCTCAAACTCAAGTAACCATTTGGGTTAGTGTTTTTTTTGTTTCCTGGATTTGAGTTAGTAATTGGATTAAAGTTTTTGCAACAAATAACTTGCGCGTGGAGTTCACGAGCTTCGTAAGAGCGTAAATATTATAGTTACTTTGAAATGGTGGTTGTCACTTCGCGGGAAGTGAAGTGACGGAAGCAAAACTGTAGTTGGGAGGTGTGTCGTTACGCTTCCAATGACTTTCTTTAATTAAAAAAATTTGGGGCTTATAATTTAACAAGAAGTTTAAAGCAAAAAATAAAAAAGAATAAAACCCTAATGGAGTACTTACTTTAATAATTGAATAAGAAATTAAAGATCTCACGTCTTTGACGGGAAGAAAGTGCTTGGAACTTTGCAGAAGAAAAACTTCTTTATATATAAACTTATACTAATAAACAAGTAACTTAGCATAAAAAAATTATTTACAGATTTTATTCTAGTTACAAGGCATATAAGCAGAAATAGGAGTGTTCATGGTTCGGTTTGGGTCGTTTTTCCCTAAAAAGAAACCAAACCAAGTAAGTCGGTTTTTCAAATATTGGAACCAAACCAAACCAATTAAGTCGGTTTTTTATCGATTCAGTTTTTGTCAGTTTTTCGGTTTTTTCGGTTATTTATCTGGTTTTTTCTTAAATATGAGACAGACTACCAAACGCATATTCCGGCGATCACATTTTCAACGTAACACTATCAAATAAATTGCTCTTTGAGAAATCTATCATTTACCAAGATATATTGATGATAATTGAATCAAATAGTGATGAATAATTTAAGTACTCAATTAAAAATCAATTATTTTTAACATGAAATAAATTCTTGTACTTACCAAAAGAAAACTACCAATCAAACTAGAATATAAAGGCAAAGAATTAGATTAATATAATAGTAAAGAACTAGACTAAAAATACAAATGACTAATATGTACCATAAAATTTTAGAAACTTTATATAAAAATATACTTTATATAGGTGTAGTAATAAATTTAAATAGCTACTTTTATAGTCAGTTTGATTCGGTTATTTTTTTGATTAAAACTAAAACCAAACCAAATTTGATCGTTTTTTAAAATTCAAAATCAAAACCAAACCAAACCTAAAAGTATCGATTTTTTTTATCGGTTTAGTTCGATTTTCGATTTGGTTCGATTTTTCGGTTTTTATGAACATCCCTAAGCAGAAACAATGGTCCCCAACGACACATGTTATTGGTTAAGTCATCGCGGCTAAAGAATTGTGGTGACTGCCTTGAATTATAATTTTCAACCAACAAGGCTATTATTATGCATATTTGAAAGGCACGGGCGGAGGTAGGCTATCGGCTACGGATTCGTCTGAACTCAATAACTTTGATTCAAATTATATATTTGTCTTATAAAATTCATTGAATATGTACTAATTAATAATTTAAAACTCAATAATTTAAAATGATTAAACTTTAACTCATAACCTTCAAAGCACTCCGTCTATGTTGAAGGGAGGTTAACAAATGTGTAAACTTTTCGGCTAATGCAGATTGCAAACATCACAAAGATTTTATAATTTGAAAAGTTGCGCTCAAAGACAATTTTTTTTTCTCCTAGCCTATCCAATCCACGTAGCTTACGAAAGATTTGAAGTAGTTTATTGTCTTTTCCGATGTACCAAAAAATTAAGCACGAATAATACTCCAACAAAGATTAAAACCTAGATTTCTCCTTTGATAGAAGCTTAGGGTCTACCAAATTGTCAATTTCCACAGAATACACACAATAAGAGATAAGCAAATGACACAGTAGAGTTTTACATAAAAAATTCTCAATTTACGGGATTAAATATCACGACCTACACTCGTAGATTTCAACTTCACTAACCGCAACTTTTAGATTACAACTTATTGTAACTTAGAAATTAAACTCTTAATCCCTCGCTCACTTGTAATAACTCTATTACAAGCCTATTTGTAATAACTCTATTACAAAGTTCACAACTCGACTAACTCTTACCAAGACACAAACACAAGGTTTATGTTTTTACAATTGGTTTCCTACACAATTCTTCTAGCTAAGCTAAGTAGAAATTACAAGTAAATCACTCTAACAAAGGTGCAACACAACTAGGGACATATAATAACACAATGCTGGAAATTGGTCATTCGTTATATTGTTCTTTGTTTTTGAAGCCTGGAAATCACTTGCAAGATGGCAACACACTTGAGAGAAGACTTGATTAATTCTGGAATGTGCAAGTGTGTATTTTTCTCATTGCTTCATGTTAATAATATCCAAGTGATGTCACTTGGATGATGCAAGCAATATCCGGTACAAGGCATGTCCTAGAAAGTGGTTGTTGCATTGTTCACACTGTTGCGTGTGTGCAGAGGAACAGTTGCAGTGACTTTATAACTGTGAGCAGTTGACTGGTACAGTCAGCAAGGGAACTGATGTCCATCAGTTCCCTCTGTCGTCTTTTTTACTCTGATTGTTGGAACTTGTGGCCGACTTGAGACTTGTTGATCTTGAGCACTTTAAGGATGTGTAACAGGTTCCCCGTCTGGTTCTTATCATTAAGTTTGTTAGATCATCAAAACATAACTGGACACATAACCTATCAATTTTCCCATTTTTTATGATGACAAACTTGTAATTGAAGTTCCCCCTAAGAACCAAAGTTCTAAGTTCCATACAATATTTCCCCTGAACGTGTTCCCCCTCAATCAATCTTCCCCCTTTTGGCATCATAAAAAGTGTAGTCACAAATAATAAGCAAAAAAAAGTCTAGCATGGTTAACTCATGCCACATGTGTGCACACAAACAAGGCTAAGAACATAGCATAAAAGTAAAACATGTATAGTAAAAGGACGAGAAACTCATTAATTGTAAAATAAAAAGGGAGCAAAATCAGCAGTACCATTTGTTATACAACTATTAACAAAAAAAATAGCTTAAAAAGTACCTTCCACCAAAAAAAAAACAACAAACAAAAAGGACCAAGATATAGGACAGACTACTTTGAACGGGATACTGGAAAGGGAAACTCTTTTAAGGAGCACTAGAAGGGGGAGGCAGGGATGACGAGGCAAGAGTTCGGAGGAGAATTGTCTCGA